TATTCCTGACTATTACTTAGTACTGCTTAGTATTCATTACTATTACTAAGTACTGCTTAGTATTCCTGACTATTACTTAGTACTGCTTAGTATTGTTTATGTTGATTTAAAACTGAATATCGTGCATTTATTCAGTGTTATCACGGCCATGTAGCGTATTTGTCTGATGTTTGTCCATCAGTCCATGTTTGTTGAGATGGCAGTTGTTTAGCCTTGTGTGACTGTTGATTTTTCACATTGATTAGTGAATCCTGAAGGCAGAGGTAAGCAACTCATATAAAAACAATTTTTTTTATAAAAACTATAAAAAATCAACATGTTAATATACATGACTTCCTTGGAGATTTGTACATGATGAAATATTAGCATAGATAGACTTGCAAAAAACTGTAAATATTCTATTGATTGCTGAGCCATATCTTAAAATATTATCTTTATCTTTGTATTGCATGATATTCCCTACATCTCCCAATAGATCCGTAAAGATTCGAGTTAGAATTGGTCTTCAGCAATCCATGATTGTCATAAGAGACGACTAATAAGATCGGGTGGTCAGGCTTGCCGACTTGGTTGACCCATGTCATTATATCGCCATTGCAAAAATCGATGCTTATGTTGATCTATGGGTTGTCTGGTCCAGACTTGGTTACTGGTATATAGACTGCCGCCATATAGCTGGAATATTGCTGAGTGCGGCGTTAAACAACAAACAAACAAACAAACAAAAACATCTTCCAATAAACAGGTGTCAATGATCGGTTAAGAGAAAGACATATTGTTTTAAATTTTGAGGCAAGTTATTGTTCCTTAAACACGGCTAAAGATAACAAGTGTTTGTCAATGCTAAACAATCTCAAAATCTGAAACAGAACACATTTCAGCAAGTACTGCGTGCTGCGATATGTCAGAAGTGGTCATTAACTACTTCAAATTGAGAAAAAATAACCTATCAAATTAGGTCTTTCTGCGTGTCTTGCACCCCGTAGACCCGGGTTCGATTCCCCACATGGGTACAATGTGTGAAGTCCATTTCTGGTGTCCCCCGCCGTGATATTGCTGGAATATTGCTAAAATCGTCGTGAAACCAAAGTCATTGACTCACTCACTTTGTGTCTTGGTGGAATTATTCATTTGAGGATTGAAGTTTTGTTGACAATTATCGGCTGATGAAGACAGTGCCACATGTGTGCAAATTTCATGATGTGCAAAATATTGACGATTCTGTAACTCTCCACTTGATTGAACTCTCCATGTGATTGACAAAGTAATAATGCAGCATACTGACATTCATCGGGAAAAGTGAGTGAGTGAGTTTAGTTTTACTACGCACTCAGCAATATTCAAACTATATGGCGACGGTCTGTAAATACCAGACACTCCAGTGATCAACAGCATGAGCATCGATCTGCGCAATTTGGAACCGATGACATGTGTAAACCAACCCGATCCCGATAGTTGCCTCTTACGACAAGCTTTGGTTACTGAAGGCTCATTCTAACCCTGACCTTCACGGGTCATTGGAAAAGAATGAAAGCAGGTTTGGTAGTGTTCATTTAGGCAAGGTCGCTCGCTACTGTCTATATCAGTAAATGTACAATAGCAATAACAATGACTGGATGTATAAATGTCGTATATCGCTTTTGTGTTTGTGGTGTCAAGAGTGTGCACGTTGTCTAGAGCATCATGTCGCCGTGAGGTAGCCCAGTGGTTAAAGCATTTCCCTTTCACGCCGAAGGCCCAGGTTCGATTACCCACATGGGTACAAAGTGTGAAGCCCATTTCTGGTGTCTCCCGCCGTGATATTGCTGGACTATTGCTGAAAGTGGTGATAATGGTCCTCCACATGGTCAGGCATCGTGACCTGATTGGGTGGATTCTTGCTCACATACCAATCACTGGATTGTTTGGTCCAGTCTTTATCTACAAGCTGTCACTGTACAGCTGGAAAATTGCTAAGTGAAGTGGAGCGGTGGGGTAGCCTAGTGGTTAAAGCGTTGGCTCATCACGCCGAAGACGTGATTCCCCGCACATGGTTACAATGTGTGAAGCTCATTTCTGGTGTTCCCCGCAGTGATATTGCTGGAATATTGCTAAATGTGGCGTAAAACTAAACTCACTCACTCACTGAGTGAAGTGATGAATAACAAACCAAAATGATTTGTATAAGGTACAAGTCTAATTAATGGATAAATTATAATTTTGTGCCTTTTAGGGCTTTTAGTTTTTCATAACCTGATTCATGGAAAACAGCATGAATATTGAAGAATACAGGTTCCTTCTCGTGAGAAAGGATAAAAATATGAATTTAATTCGTTTGTTAAAGATCTGCCAGTTAAGTAATTAAGGAAACCCTGAGATACTTCCTGGGGTACTTTGTAACACTGATAGTCAGTTTACTATAATTCAACCTTTTGCATGGCAGTGATACCTCTCTGCAAGAAGATCTAATAAAGTGTTCCACAGAAGGAGGCATCGTTAACTGTGAGCGAACATTTAGAGCCCCACAATTTTCAAACAGATTTTTATGTCCATGCCTCCATAAATGCAAAACAATATTGCAGGCAAAATGCAAAAAGTATTGCACTCAATTATTTCCACAAAAAAAAACAAAAAAACCTTTAGAGCCCAGTGTAAATTGGGAATGCATTGGTACTTGAGCCAGTTGGATATCAGCTCTGTAAAACAATCTTCTTAATTTTTTAACTACCTTGATCAGAAACAATGATCTTGAAAAGAAAAATGACTCCCTTTTGTAAGAAGATGCTATCTCAAGAGAGATGGGGGTATAAATATCTCAGAAAGTAACACTTTATCCTTTGTCATTGCCATGGTGACTGTTAATACAGAAATAACAATATTCTGCTTTGAATGCTTTGCTTGCTTCTACAGAGAATTATATGTCATCACTACTGCAGGGGCAATTCATCTATTTGAGAAAGGACGGCTGCGCAAGTTCATGGATCTGCCTATGATTAAATAAACTTTCAGGACTAAAGTGGGTGATGGGGGTGGGGGCGTGTGTGTGTGCACCCCTGCATCCTACCTCTGGATCTGCCTATGTACTGATTGGCTGGCATGCAGAGGTATCGTATTGAGGTTAAAGGTCTGATTTTACTGGAATATTCCATATGATACAGATTGTAAACTTGTTTATTTGTAGCCTTGTATGTTGACTGTACGAAGTGTGTATTTAACTTTGTCGTTTGTAGCCAGGATACTTATCTTGCATGTTGGGCCTAATTTATTATTTACCTGGAGCAAAAGATTTATATTTTCACACATTTAATAAACATTTTGCCAGATTGACTATGCTTGTGATTGTGCTTTCTCCATATGGGTACAATGTGTGAAGCCCATTTCTGGTGTCCCCCGCCGTGATATTGCTGGAATGTTGCTAAAAGAGGCGTGAAACCAAACTCACACACACATACATTGACAGGAGGCAGTGGGGTAGCGTAGTGGTTAAGCGTTTGCTTGTCATAACGAGAACCTGGGTTCGATTCCCCACATGGGTAAAATGTGTGCAGCCCATTTCTGGTGTCCCCCACCGTGATATTGCTGGAATGTTGCTAAAAGAGGCGTGAAACCAAACTCACACACACATACATTGACAAGAGGCAGTGGGGTAGCGTAGTGGTTAAAGCGTTCACTCGTCACGAGGAGAACCCAAGTTCGATTCTCCATATGGGTACAATGTGTGAAGCCCATTTCTGGTGTCCCCCGCCGTGATATTGCTGGAATGTTGCTAAAAGAGGAGTAAAACCCAACTCACACACACATACATTGACAAGAGGCAGTGGGGTAGCGTAGTGGTTAAGCGTTTGCTCGTCATGACGAGAACCTGGGTTCGATTCCCCACATGGGTACAATGTGTGCAGCCCATTTCTGGTGTCCCCCGCCGTGATGTTGCTGGAATGTTGCTAACAGTGGAGTAACACTAAACTCACATTGACAATGGACAATGGGGTCCAAACATCCTTGACACTGCGATATGCTCAGCAGATTTGCATTCCTTGGTGGTAAAACAAAGTGAATGAGACACTTACATTACCTTCTTCACACTTCTGCTGACATGTCGTATTACCAACTGATACTGTCTCAAACCCAACACATTCGCATTGGCCACAGGGCTCTAGATAATTTTTCAACATCAGGAGTACATACTCCTTATTTTTCAATATAGGAGTACTGGAAAACCTTAAGAGTCCATTTAGAGTACTGAATGGAATTTAATGGAGTATCAGTAAATGTCTTCCATTTCATATATGCACAACACTGCTACTCTTGTGTAAACAGGTCAATAAACAATAAAACAATTTTTCAGATAAATATGTCTGTAAATGGTTCTAAGACTATACAAAATTGCTGTGGTTCGTATCTGCTAAGTTTTCTAAATTATTTCCTACCATATCGTGCATATTTTTTATCCTTACATGCGCTGATACGGCCCTTATCTGGAGCCCTGCGGCCAGTGATAGAAGTCTAGACCAGGCCTGCAAGTTAGTGATAACATGACCAATCGGTGCACCAAAATGTCACACAGAGACAGCCAGATTCAACCAGATTCTCAGTGGCCTTTTCTAGTGGTGGTCCGATTAATTGAAATAATCGAAGATTGGTACAGTGACTAGACGTCCAAGCAATCGAACATATTTTCTCATAATCGAATACAAGCAATCTTGGAACAACACTTGTTTGTATCAACGATATTTTTTCACAAGGTTGGTTTTGTCTGTCATTCAATTTACAATTCATAAGCTCTACAGCTTGTTCCAAGTCATGATTGAATTTATCTAAAAGACATCAGGAAAATTATGTTCCTAACATGCTAGTCCTCCTTTATAGATGTATCATTTGCAAATGCATTTTGTGCAATTTGAAAAAAACCCCAAAGAACTATGATTTTTCTTTTTTTCTTGTGCATTAATGAAGATAATAGGTGTGTTATGACCTGGTGTTGGTTCCCCCTCTCACCTTTATTCAACAACAACTAAAAGATATAACAGATAAATCCCAGGTTTATTACCTACAATTGTGATAACATTTAAAATCACAGAATATATACTGACAAAATATACAGTGTACACTGGCAAAATTAATCTTCATCACATCAAGACAAGCACAGGACAATAGACACGGTACTTGTTGGTCTCATAAATCAGCAGTTATATTCTTAGGTCAGTGCATCAACATGTGCAGTGGTAATATTGCTAGACGAGAACCATAAACACAGGCTATTTAAAACTTTGGAAACAGAATCATTTGGTGTCAAGATCTGTCACAGCTGAATTGGTCAAATGTTCTGTTAAAGCTCAAACTAATTAAAAGTATAATGACCACAAAGAAGTGTTGTAGATACGAATAATTCTCTCCGACGATTCCATTCTACTCAGTATCAGGAACATGTAAACTACATGACCTTAAATCAACTTTTCTGTTGTTTCGTACAAATATTAACATGAATAAAATTTCAATGGTTTGTAATCTTTAACAGAAGTACATATGTTAAGAGGAGATGCAAATTCATAATCCCAAATGATGAAGATACTGATGAAGTAGCTGTTGGTGTGACCCTCAGTAACTCTGGATGTTGATGCTCTTCCTCATCCCCATGCACTCAACTTCATCAATGAACAGGGTGTTGGCCTTGACCTGAATATCTTCTTCCAGAGATAGTTGGTTACGAATAAGTCCTTTGAGGGAATCTTGGGAATGTTGAAGACGTTCCTGGAGTCGGCTGATTGACTCCTCGATTTCGCCAACTTCTTCGATGAGGCGGTACTGCACATGGTCGCGACACAGTTCCACGTTTGGTCGGTTGGTGCGGGTGTCCAGACGTGTCTGAGCCAATTTTAGTGGGGATTCTTTGTCCGCGATGGCTTTCATGAGGCGTGAGATGTTCTCCTCGATCTCATTGATCTGACCAAGAACCTGGAGAAGGAAGTGGTTCAATGTTATTACACTGACAACACAAGACTATGGACAATAATTAGTTATCAGAAGCTGATTTTCAAAATACAGCCAACAGATTTGTTTTTGCATACCAAGAACTATTGATTAACTTAACTGTCAAAGAAAGGTTTTGTCCAGAAAATATAAAGATCAATTTTTATGTTGAAGCTTTGACAATTTTGGTGGTTTCACCCATTTTGTTCTGGGGAGGTATGGGGGTCATTAATTTTGTACACATGTACTAGGGGGGGCATTAATTTTGTACACATGTACTAGGGGGTCATCAATTTTGTACACATGTACTAGGGGGTCATCAATTTTGTACACATGTACTAGGGGGGTCATTAATTTTGTACACATGTACTAGGGGGGTCAGCAATTTTGTACACATGAACTAGGGGTCAGCAATTTTGTACACATGTACTAGGGGGTCAGCAATTCTGTACACATGTACTAGGGGGGTCAGCAATTTTGTACACATGTACTTGGGGGTCAGCAATTTTGTACATGACACGCAAGGGGGTCACAGACTCTTACTTTGTACATAAATTTTAGGGGGGGCATTCACATTGTACATGCTTCTCCATAAAAATCATCGTCAGCCAATGGGTACTATATAGTTTCTCTAACGAAGATCTGGTCTAAATATCATTGTTCTGCTACATCGAGTTTGTTTAACCAAGATGCTGCTATGACTTTCCAACAAGGGCTCCAGTACCTTGTTGAGATGGTCCTCCAGCTTGCCCTTGGTGTCCTTGGCTTCATCGATGCGCTTGCTGAAGGCCAGATCAACAGCCTGGCACTGCTTCAGCATGTCATTGGACGACTGCTGCAGGATCCCGTCAATCAGTGACCTCAGGTCCACGGAGCTCTGTCTCTCCCGCTCTGCCTGCTCAATGTTGGCATTCGAAAAGTCTTGCCAATCTTCTGGTGTAACGGAACTGTTCAAGGGGGATAACTCTTGTTAGGAAATATTTCAAATACATAATTCTCATCCAAGATGAAAAAGTCAAATATCTCAGCTCTGAGATGACAAAGACTCAAATTTCTACCATCGCTTACTTTAGATGAAATACTACAATGATGAAAATCATCATCCAATCATAGTACATGTGTGATAAAAGCGACTGAGATTGTGATACTGACTAGCGAAACTATATCATAGGAAAAGCGTAAAGAGCATTTGGTCTAACAATAGAGAGCCAATACTGCTGGTGAACAGCATAAATTCAGGCTTACGATTTTTGACACCACTGCCTTAAACACATGCCTCAAAATAATATGTTATCAATTTACTGTGAAATACGCATGTTCATGAACCAATTACCCAGAACAATTGAACATGATATATTTCTAGTGTTTCCATGGCATTTGATTGACAAACAACACTAATTATTATGCATATCTTTCCCTATAAACCGTAACAAATTTTGACCACAAGTAGTCTTCTGTTTTTGTATTGATTAATTAAAGGGTAAGGGGAACTATACAGGGGTGGAAATAACTTTAAAATTGCTAGTGTACTCCCGGTACAGTGGCACATGTAAAGTCACTTGCCCTGATAATTATTCCACTATACCGACCGTTTTCTTGCTGACTTTTTAAAAAATAACATAATTAACATTGGAAAGTCTAGTGGACACCGGTACAGTGTGATATACAAATTTGCTTGCCCGACAGAAAAAAACACTGGACTCGGACAACGGGCAATGAGTTATTTCCACCCCTGCTATACTGTATTATTACCCATATGGTGAAACATAACCAGTATCATATATATCGCATGTGCACATATCACTTTTGCCTTGCAACCATTGTTTCCGTATTTCATCTTCTCTTATGTCATTAAACAATTGAACGTGACGAAGAGGGTCGTCACACTTGCTTGCCATGTTTTACTGTACAAATGTATGTGAATAAAATGGATAATAAAGAAATCATTATACTAGAGCAAGTGTTTCATATGACTTATACAAAACTTGTGCAAAACAATGCATTGCCATTGCTCTCTCGCTAGGGCAATACAAAATGTCACGCTTGTTTTGTATAAATCGTATGACACACTTGCTCGTGTAATAATCTCTATTTATATATTGTTTAGTGTTTAGTAAACAAATAAAGAAAAGTATGAGACATCACTGTTACTTAACATAGTCAGGGACAAATCTCTTCAGTTACAGCATACACATTTTTTATGTTTACGTCCATAAATCAAAAATATATTGAATCTATTCTTAATTATTTGTGAAGTAGTCCTCAACTCTGTTGAGTGTGCATCGACACTTACTTTGCCTCGATCTTGGCAGCGCCCTCCTTGTATCTGAGATTGGCCGAGTTGTTGCGGAGATTCTGACAGTACTCATCGATGCTCATGGAGGAGAATTTATCCTTCAGATCTTTCTCCAGCTGGTAACGTGATTTGCGGTTCAGTCTGAAACATTATACACACGTTTGAAAATAAAACCAGTGTTTGTGAAAGATCTGCTGCATCCTTATTTGCATTATCCAAAATATTTGTGTTACCTCAACATGTAATTGAACATCAGCTCTTAGAACATTAATCTCAACATGCAATGAGAGGAACAGCCAGGTGTGCGAGAAAGGATGGAGACGGCACAGCACAGGTAAATGAATAAATAACTTTGTCGGCACTTGTGCACGTGTTTATCGTACACCTGGCTGTTCCTCGCTTTGTACTCCTCCCTCGTAGCAAATAGTGAACTGTGTAAATATTTGAATGATAGTTTGTCAAACAACATTTTTGTTTTTCAGGACATAATTTCTGCAAAAAAATCACAGAGTTGGTCTGATGTTTTGATTATGATCAGCGTTTCATTGAGTATTATATGTTTATAGTTTTCGAGTTAGATTCAGTGAATTCATTGGTCCTCTTTTGAGCCAAATGGACTGTACCTATATGGATTTTTGTCCATCTTCAATACAAGCTAGCAGCCTCAGACTAGCAGGATCATGTGAATTTGAAAAACTGTTATAAATAATCGACTGAAAATGATACAATGATGCATGCAGACGTTCGGACTGGACGACTCAAAACTTTGACAGGGGAGACAACTGACCTGATCTGTTCAGTGCCCTGTTCAAGGGTTCGTCTGAGGAGGGCCTGAATCCCCTCGATCGTCTCCACCTCTTTGATCAGCTCTTTCTGGACATCGTCATGGACCAGGTCGATTCCAATACGCTTCTCTCTGCAGAAACAAACCACATATAAAGTCACACAATGCCACACCACACTTCTCAAAAAGATAATAACACATCTCCCTCAATAACACTAACTATCAGCATTCAGGGAAGCTACCATAAAATTTATTCCAAAAGAATATGTATTTAGGTTACAATATTAAATTAAAATGTTTGAATTTTTGCAATGTTGCATTAAACTGACTATCACACCATCTACCGGCCGACCATTATTTCAACCGAAGCACATAGAGTTATGTCCCTTGGAGGGCTCCTTACGAATATCCTATGCACAACTTGTGATTGAAACCAGTTCGGCAAACACCGACAACACCATGTGCAAGTCAGTTTTCGATGTACGGAGTGAATGTTCAGATTATATGGCAAGTGTTCTCTGTTAGGAAGTTGTTCGCCTTGAAGTTTCAATTATTGATTTCAGGCAAGTCATAAGGAATAATAAGTCTTTTATTGCATCAATAGGAAGCTAAAGTGAGGGCATATGCCCCAATATATATAATATAGGCCAAAATATTGACGAAAATGGGTGACATTGTGCCTTCAACAACAGTTTCACTGCTGTCTCTAATTCCACAAAACCCCATGTTACACTCGTTTCACATAACCACACCCATGGTTTTACCCAAATAAGTGAAACAAATGAGAACATGTTGACTGTTTAGTGATTAGCATATACTGAGGCTGTAACGACTCACTCGCATATTCGGTGAATCGAACAGAAGCCCTTCATGAATTCAATTCGTTATTCGTGGTCACCAGAACCGAATATTAACGAATATTTACGATTTTTTTAAGGGAGCATGTTTTACTTGAACCCTTGTGTACTTTTGGAAAGTGCGATATGCAAGGATTGAATATGTACTAGCAACGCAGTAGCGCAAGTCATGTTATTTTGCCAAGGCCGCACATGGTACTGTCGACTATAACTATTACATACCAAATTTTGCGTGTCATGAGATGAGATAACTGGTTATTGCTGTGACAAATCAAAACTGTCAACATGAGCATTCCATATTGTACATCAATCACTTAGCTACTATATTGTATTCGTGAATAATTATTCGTATTTGTTACCCAATATTCATGATACGTATCATATTCACCACATAGTGTATTCGTTGCAGCCCTAGCATATACAATGTGTAAACTAGGAATCAAACACAAATTTTCCATTCATGTAGTTGAAGTATTAACAGATCATAAGCAAAAACAATCCTTGATCATTTTAAGGATCAAACGCTATTGAATAATAAAATACAAGATTATTTGTATGTACTGAGGACCAAACCGAGTTGCTTCAGACAAATATGTCCTCAAATAAATCGCACAGACATACAAATCCTGGGATTATTGAAAATTTGTTTGTTTGTTGTTTAACACCACACTCAGTAATATTCCAGCTATAAGGCGTCGGTCTATAAATATTCGAGTCTGGATCAGAAAATCCAGTGATCAACAATATGAGCATCGATCTATGCAACTGGGATACGATGACGTGTCAGCAAGCCTGACCACCTCATCCCATTAGTCACCTCTTACTACAAGCATGGGTTGCTGAAGACCAATTCTAACCTGATTATAGAACAATTAATTTACAAGATGCAGAGTCACATCTCTTTGAAATTATAACCTTGCATTCTCAACATCTGTTTGGATTTATTAGGCTTTTGCTCTACTTTTGAAATCTGAACTGACTTTATTTCAAACCCCCTACAAATATAGATCTCCATATATATTTATTCCATTACCTGACCAGCTCAAACAATATCATAACAAAATATAAAAAAATAATATACAAATATTTACTGTTATTTTGATCTGTTGTATTTGTTAGTAAATACACCTGCTAACTATTAGTCACCATTAGTAGCATTAGCACAAACAGGTCATAATCCTACCTGTTCATGAGACACTGTTTTGCTATATGCAGGGGTTCCTCAGTGGACTCCAGGGCTTTTTCTACTCGGGTCTTGAAGGTCTGCAGACTGTCCACTTCTGTCGCTAGACTGTCAAGCTTGTCGTCCAGCTCCTTCTTCCAGTACTTGATGTCATCCAGGCGCTGCTCTGTCAGTCACAATCATCATTATCATATAACTGAGAGTGAGTGAGTTTTATACTGTTTTAAGCAATATTCCAGCTACTGTCAAACCCTGTTGTGTTGAACTCGTCAGGACCAAGGGAACAGTTCGACTTATCTCAGTGTTCAACACCTCCATCAACATAGAAATAATGATAAATATAAGGAAATCGGCTGGGACTGACTAATGAGTTCGACACAACCGAGAATTCGTCTCAACTGAGTTTGAATGAATATTTTCATTGTCATAAAATCTGAATCATTGTTCCAGGGTCTTTAACAATGTTTATAAACATCCTCAAAGACCTGGAATTATTTGAAATAATAAAGATATGCGCACACTGCTATTTAATACATAAATAATCACTCTTTAATTCGTAACTTGATTTTCAAGTCATTTTCAAGTCATATAAAACAAAACATTGGTTATGATGTTAAGCAAAATAACGAAACCTGAATATATTGCAATGAGATTGTTTTTTTTGTTTTCACAGCATTTGATGTGATTTGTTGTTGGTTTGAATTCTTACCAAATTTCTTGTTGACATCCCTTTGAGTCTTATCTGTTCTCTTCTCTGTTTCATCTGATAAACGTTTTGATTCCTCAACTAATCTCTCAGATGCTGCCCTTTCGACTTCAGCATTTGCGTATTTTGTGAGGTTAGACCGAGTCCAGTCCTCATGAGTAAAGCGGGATGGGGCTGAAACCACCTTGGCCATGGCTTCTCAAAAGATGGACCTAAAAATAAACAATAAACATTCAGTCAACTCTATCTATAAATATGTAAATGTTTCATCTATAATTAAGTCAAATTGTGAAAAACAAACACGGGTACAATGATGACTAGAGAATTGGTGAGCAATCTACGTTGTTTGGTCTTCACATAAAGTGAATATAGGGGCTGTAGGTGAAGTCGTAGACCAGACTGGTTTGTAGACGTGGAAATCCGGTGGATTCGAAGGCGGATTGAGCACTGGATTCGTAGACATTAGTAAAATGGGGAAATTTCAACATCATTGATGATGAAAATCGATATTATGACTTTAGTGTAAACCAAAAGTGTTTGAGATTTGTGAAATAAAAAAAAATATATTAGGTAAGTGTGATCAGTAATGAAAAAAACATCAGTTATCCACATTCAACTACGCAGACCAGCAGAGAAGTAGCAGTTGAGAAGAAGGATAAGGTGGGTCACCGACAAAGTAATTAACAACACACTTCAATATACACACAGTATTTCACAATCAAAACAACTCACCACTTCCTAAGTGCAACCTCTTTCCGATGGGTAGACTAATTTATTTTAATCCACCGACGACCTAAATTACAGTGAATACTGTATAACAATTTCATTATTTTCTTCTTGTCGGAAAATTATGAAGAGTAGACTAATTTTGTCTGATCCGCCGACAAAGATTACCTGTACAAACACTTATGGTATATAACCTCAAGAAGGTAAAAAGAAATCCTTCAGCATCAAAATTATCAAAATGTTTACAAAATACTATTATTCAACTATTTATCGTCTACGAAATCACTGTCTACGAACCATGCCGTCTGGGCTACGAATACACCGCGTCTACGAACTGGTTCAGCCTACGAAAACATCGTCTCCCAATATAGGTACGGTATATATTGTAGTAGACCTCCAATATCCTCTTTATCAACTCAAAATGAAGGTGATGAAAAATCGAAGCCGACCCGGTATTCAACAATATAGTCGTTGTGAAGATGCTGAACCATGTAAACAATCCCTCCAGCCTTTACTTTGTTATTGTATCAATATACCAACGGTCATGCAGATGAACTGTGTAAGTGTTATACCATATGACAAGGCATCAAATAAGAAACCTTACCTTGAAAGTTCCGACAGATCACGAATATCGGGCGATTTGGGCGATTTGACCTAAACAGTGTGCTCTTTCCTTCCACAAGCCTATTTGACAGTGGTGATTCCTAGCAACCGTGGTTGCTACAGCAAACTGCGCGTGCGTTAACAGGAAGTTTGTTTGAAACTATTAGTCCCACAACTAATAAGGAACGACATTCGTTTAAGGCGTGGATGCTGGTGCGGTTTCATTTCAAGTGTAATTATTTCGCCTGCAATTTACAGATTAAATATGTTTTATATTTAAAACATTTTTATTCTTATGCCGCTCAATTATTCGACATGTGTTATAATAGCTTCTTTCACCTCATTCGAGAAATCAATTTTCTTGATAATGCATTATTAAAGGCAAATAAATATTTCTTCTCACTAGGTTAAACAATGCATAAAAATAGTAGTAATGACCTCGCTAAAAATGGCCAGGTTTACAGATTTCTAGTAATTGGGGGTAAATCATCATAGATAGAATATATATATATTTTTAAATGCCAGGACAAGTTTGATTTATCCACTCATATATATATGTATACCCAACCTACAGCTAACCAGGTCATCATATTCTCAGATTCTCTCTCGTGTCTTCGGGCTATTCAAAACATTTCTCCTAAACATGTCGAATTAATCGAAATCATTGAATTATTTTACGTTCTTGCTACTTGCCAATACGACATCGTTTTATGTCGGTTACCCGTCCATGTTAGAAACAATGGTAACACAATGGCTGATTCGGCAGCAAAGGCAGCACTCAACAAATCTGTGACACCACTTCTCATCCCGTACACAGACTATAAACCAAGTATTAAAATGTCACATCAGAGATCTAATACAAAAGACGTGGGACACATCTAGTTGTTATTTAATTAATTTGTCGATAGAAAATGAATTTAATGAATTGTTTCAGTTTGTTTGATAAATATGTTTTGTAAATAAACGAATAAAATAAATAGCTCAATGGCCAACGGCTGAAGTGATGGTGTAAATCCACCCAGGGCCCATGCAGGAAGCAAAAGTACTGTAAGTCCCAGGATCCTTTGTAAGGTGATCTACCTTCGGTTGTTGACGATCTATAGCTTGTGATTTATTGTATTGTCTATACCATCGATGTCTGTGACATTCTAGCTGTGTTTACTGTCCTTCGTTGACAGTTTTTAAATAATTCAACTTCATGTATTATAAATGTATAACTTGTTTCAGTCACGATATGACTGAATACTGCCGATTCGGCTAGAACTCACTCACTCACCCAAATGTGATTTGCTATATGGGGTAGATGCCTAGTCTAAAGTACTGTTTTTAGGCTGTTACTCTGTATCCCTAAAACTTCGAAATTGCAAATAGCATATGTCGAAATAACCCACATCGGCCTAACTGGGCGTTCAGTAGGATGCGTAATAGGATATCCAGAAAAGCATGTTTACTCGTAAACTCGGGCAAAACTTAGAAAAAAAACCCAGCTGCTTAAAACAATAGATCAGACTATAGGTGGCAATTAGGTCGCTCGGGCAGGTATGATGGCGGACCGTCGACACACCAAGCATGAAATGCACGTGCTGCCTACCGGCACAAGGGGCCATCTCAAAGATATTCTATGCGTTTTCTTATGTGTTGAATATGTCTCAAATATTGATTAACATCTAACGTGTCTTTTTTCCCCATAAAGTTTATGTTGAGATATGTAAAACAGTATGATACCCACAGAAAGGCTTAAGTCAGCCATCGTATTAAATGTCTCAAAATATATAGGTAGCATGGACACCCGAAGATCGACAGGACTGGATATTACTTGTAAATTGTTACTTCCCCAGTTTAATTCCCCTAAAGGATTTTATTATCTTAGCTTTTATTACCCGACCCCAGCCATCATCTGCGACACCCGATCTGGTTTGCTTTTGAGACGACCCCCCATGTCTGTTTGTTTTTATAGTGGGAGTGAGACTCCATGGTAGCACATTTTCTAGACTTGCGTGGCCTTTCTTGGATATATTTGCTTCAGAGTCTGTAGGACAGACTAACTCCATGGTAGCTACATCATTAAGAGTTTCACAAGTAAAAATATTATTTTGTACGTCAGCTATCGTTTCTAATGAAGCTAAGTCTAATTTAAAAAAGGGCATTTAAAAAGTGTCCTTTGTAATACAATATCATCGCACACTAATTTGCATAAAGCCAAGGTCTGTTCCAAATAAGTCGACTTGGACTTAGAAAAAACACCCACATTGCTCATTTCTGCACTAATCTCTCATCAGTAAAGTTCTTTTTCTACGTTTCCTATCTCCCTACCACCGAGACTGTAGTTAGGCCGAACTTAGTTTAACAGATATTTCACATATTAACTACATAAATTGTGGATCTAACCGTGAAAAAACAGTTGTTTTCTATTGCCGACAGTACTTTAGTTTTACTTTTGTATAATGCGACAGCTGAAATACACATATTTACATAAAAACATACCAAAACAAAAATTGCTTGGACACAATTATTCGTCTTTGGGATAAAACATATTAGATTTACAATTGCATGAAAAAATAAATAAAAATAAGATAATATGGTGTGCAAATATAAACCCAAACTACAAATGGATGCATTGGTTACCAGTGATTTGATAAACTTCACACTATTATTATTCCACCGTAATGTTGTAATTGAAAAAAACAAAACTGTTTTATTGCAAAGAATAATGAAATTGCCGGCATGAACTATTAAAGCATTTAGGTCACTGCGAACACCTCGTAAGAAATGTGCATACCTTTTGATCATTGTATTCCTGGGATTCCAAAGTTTAAAATCGTTAAGCGTTCGGCGATTTATTTTTTGTATGACGTTTCTGTTTACGGCTGAATTTCAAACCAAGTGTTAAAAAAAGAAAATATAAATGTTAACACATGAAATCCATTTCATATAGCAACAAATTCATGTCAATATTATTGTTTTTCTCTTCTCGTCCCAGATGATTCATGTGTCAACTTACGAAGCTGGAAAATGTTTTAAGGAATATACTATCTCTTACGAAAACCATCGGCTCAATCGGAACACCGCCGTGTAATTTTGTTCAACGTTTACCTGGAAAAGTGAATTACTAACACTTCCAGTTCTTTCACAATATGTAGACAACTTTTATAGACGAAATTATTATATGCCGCATGCACTTTGTATTGTATATCATATATCACGACTTACAATTTCAATGCAACCATTATCCAATAACAATCCGATATATTCTGAATGATCCGTGTTCCGGAAATGACCTATATCCCAACATGACCCTTGACCTAGGTCACAGAATTTCCCACGTGTAGAGGGCGTTGGATGCTAGCGTGATTATCGGACGAGCAACTGGTGACGCGCTGGTGTTATTACTGATGCAACCGCAGTGGAGTTGACAGCGCCATGGACAGGGGAACGCAGGGGCTAGTGTCCCCCTTTTACGGGAGAGATGGAAGTAAAATGGCAGCCGCACCGAGAAGCGGTGCCAAGACACTAAAGGGGATTTTAGCAGGTGCGTGAAATATTATTTGGTTACAAAGTTGTACAGCTTAGAAGTGCTTCGTGGCCCGTTCACGTTTATTTGTTTACATGTGATTTCAACAGCGTGACTGTGTCATCTCGACTGGTCATGTCACGTTTTGGCAAATATTTACCAAAATTCCAACTGAAAACAGTAAAAGTGTTTGCTGTGGTTTAATAGGTTTATGACATACATAATTTGGATCGATGTTGACCTGGTTATATTGGCAACGTAACGCCATCCGTCCTCTGAACGAAGTCTCCAGTAAGAAGTCAATAATGTATATTTTGAGCGTCGTTGCATTCATTCGTTGCAGGTTAGATATATATTTTGAATAACCCGAAAACGCATTGTAGATTGCCAAAAAGGTAAATTACTGCAGCTGGAACTAACCCGACACGCCCACTTATCTCATAACAAAACCCAAGCTAAAAGTGCCCCCTGTCCAAAATATGAATGGAAAGTGATTGAGGCCTCGAAGTTGACTGGGCACAGAGGCAGTCATTGTTAGAGTTCTCTCATGTGTATATAAATGTGTTTCATACTTGCCTCAGTAGTCACTATGTTCAAGGTTTGTTTTGTACACAGACATGGAAATATTGTGGCTCTTCGGTGTTGTGGCTTTAGCCCCAAAGGGAATTTCCGATTTCCCCCCAATACCTATCAGTCATGGGGATGTTTCTGAAAGCTTTTAAAAATTTGATCAAGATCTTTGCAATATATGTTATTTTTAACTGAATGTTGCTGTTTTTATTTAAGAATTGCATGAAAACATTTTTAATTTTGATGATAGAAGTAAACAATTCTTATTAATGTTCAAAGTTTTGTGATTTTTTTATTGACATTTATAGTAATTCTTAGCGTCTTATACACAAAGGTCACACAAATATACACCAGTATTTGTCAAACTCAAAGTGAAGAAACATAATTAACAAAAGGGTTATGGTCGGTTATTAGAAATGTATGAAAGTTCAGATGTTTTAGTGTGTTTAAACTTATTAATCTATCATTTCATATAATGTATCAATTACTAAATTTCACAGGTATGAATATTTCAAAGTTGATTGACCGTTTTTAATAAAATTATATCTACACAATATACAGAATGATCAGCACCTGATGGCTCCTGTTGAAATCCTGTTAGTGACGTACGTCTAGACTCCCCTCCCCATTTTCTCACAAGCTTGAGGACATTGAAACAAACATGTAGAGCTCCTGTTTCAGGAAGTTGAAAGGTGGTATAGCCTTTGACGCTATTGTTCAATGTATATGAACTGAGTAGAAGATAGTCTGTTTTAAGAGAAACCTGTCTATAAATAGAAAGGGTTAACTTGGTTCATTGATTATATTCAGCTGAAAGAGCTGTGGGTTGTAAAGTGATATTGCAAGACACTATATGTGACATGTATTTAGCATGTTTAGTGGTATATATTCAGGTGTGTTTTGACATGTAGCATCCTGGTTCGAGACAAAACAATCTATAACCACTTGTTTATGTGGGCGGTTTGGGGATGGGGTATGAACCTCCCTATTAAAATTGTGAACCCCAAATGGACCAATAACTCCCAAATCCAAACCTTCCTTAGGCCAGACCAATTATATTTCTTGTTTTCTGAATTTTTGTCCTTAAAAAAAATTAAAGGCAGGAGAGAAAAAAATAAAATTAAAATCACCAGTCAAAGTAATATTCCTTCTAAATGCTAAAATTATTTTACGTTTGGCAATTTATGAACTGTATATGGGGCAAAATACAATCTAAAAACATTTTCTTGTAAGTTTACATTTTTGGCCAATAAAAACATTAGGATTTTATTTTTTGAGCGGGGAAAATTCTTTTTTTTTTCTTATCCTTTAAAAATACGACTGGCGGATCCGTAAAAGAAGTAATAAAATTGGTCTGGCCTTAATAAACTACTTAGGTTGTTAATCTAAATGTGAGATTGTCACTTGTAATACATAATACATGTACTGGTGAAGATGTGGGTGATAGTTGGTCAACCCATTCTTATTGTGAAAGACGTAACAAGATCGAGTGGTAAGACTTGCTGACTTGGTGGTTGCAGACTGCATATTCCAGTTGCATAGATTATACTTGTATTGTCAGTCACTGTGTCGTATGTTCTAGACTTGATTATTTACAGATCTCTGCATATATCTTGACAATTGCTGAGTGCGGCATTAAGCAGGAAAACAAATAGATCCAATGTAGTGCCCTGGAGAGGGGTATGTCCAGGGAACCTGAGATCCACTTTATGTCGCGGGATGGCTGTATTATACACTGGTACACGTTTCTGGGGTCTCATCAAAACTTTTTATAGTGAAAAACCCTGGTACTCTCTTTTGGAGTTTGTTGACTACTTTTTAAGCAGATATATATTATGTATTATAAACCCAACTAATCTTCTAAAGTGTCAGAGCCTTAGGTAGCCTAGACGGTGGCGTAGCCTAGTGGTTAATGCGTTCGCTCGTTACGCCGAAGACCTGGGTTCGATTCCCCACGTGGGTACAATGTGTATAGCCCATTTCTGGTGTTCCCTGCCATGATATTTCTGGAATATTGCTAAAAGCAGCATAAAACTAAACTCACTCAATCCCTCTAAAGTCTCGTCACACTGGTTTGAGAAACACAGATATATATTATATACACCTGTTAATCTTCTGCTCTCACACTGCGATGTTTCCACTGAAATGTGGAAATCTAGCTAACATGTTCTTCAATCTTCATGATGAAGAAAAAGACTGTCAAGCCTTAGTGTATCTTTTTAAACTTGTGTTGCCGAAGAGCGATCAATTGTTTTGTTGCTGTGTCTTGGTAGTCAGTAGTGATGATGAAGACATCAGACAGTGAGCAGCTGTGATATCTCGTGTGACAGGTATGGTTGTCTGTGCCTCCCCTGACCTTCATTATCTCCAAAACGTTGACCCCTTACTTTGTATGTTGATTGGACTTTGAACACATTTACTCAATATCAGCTCCACTGTGCTAAGAAGGAATAGGAAAATGCCCCAATCATATATTTTGTGTATTCAGCATTATTGCTTGAAGGATTAGTGTATTTATTATTATGTTTATTATGTTTAACAAGATTACCATCTAGTCAGGATTTCCAGGCAAAATGTATCATTCAATAGCCTATGCAGGGGTTGAATTCTTTTTCAAAATTCCACTGGACACAGGCAGGGGTGGAAATAACTTTAAAATTGCTAGTTTACTCCGGTACAGTGGCACATGTAAAATCACTTGCCCTGATAATTTTTCCACTATACCGGCCGTTGTCTTGTTGATTTTTTAAAATAAACAACCTAATTAACATTGGAAAGTCAAGTGGACACCGGTACAGTGTGATATACAAATCTGCTTGCCCGACAGAAAAAAACACTGGACTCGGACGTCGGGCAATGGGTTATTTCCACCCCTGACAGGTCCAGTAAACTTTCAAAATCCACTTGACCAAATATTAATTTCACTTGACCACAATTAACAATTTGGTTTCTATTGCAAATAATCTTTATCAACTGGTAGCAATTGCATTTCTATTCATCATCAAAATACATATATCAAAACATTCAGTCAGTTTGGCAGTACTGTACCATGGTAAAGTTTATTGTGGATATTTACTTGACCGACCGGAAAATTCCACTGGACCCGAGCGTTGGGCAATGGTATTTTTCAACCTTCGTTGTGGTGCTTCAGTTTGCAGAGTTGTGTCCCTTAGTTGGGCAGGATTCTGTTCCCCAATACCCGTGACTGCCAGGTATTGAACCTCCATTAACAATTCTTTTGTTGATAAACTCTCTCTTTGCAGGACGATCTGTTTTTGATACTTTACTTTTTTTCTGTTTTCTAAATTTAATGTCCTTGTTCAGTTCGTTTATTTCCAGGAAGATGAGTTTTAGATTTAGAAAGATGATCTGAAACAGTACTCTTATGAGTTTGATCGAGAATGACATTACAAACTCAACAAAATTGCAGATGGCATTGTCATTATATGCATAAATCTGGATAGTTGCAATAGTTGCAGTAAACAGATTGTATGAATTGCATACCTTCCTGCCGTAGACATAACTGCCCCATTCAGGAAAATGGCTGACTTTGAGAACATCAACATTTTGTTTTAAACACATTGATTAATAATAATTGTCAAACTATATTGTTTATTGTTAGCACAATACCATTGCAGTTGACAACTGTCGTAGGCTATTGAAATAATGTGGGCTACTTATTATTGAAATACATTCGCAATAGGAAACAATTCCTGAATGGTCTCTTCTGTTGCTTGTCACCCGTGAAAATTCAGGTTAGAGTTGGTCTTCAGTGACCCATGCTTGCCATGAGGCGACTAACAGGATCAGGTGGTCAGGCTCGCTGACTTGATTGACACATGTCAATGGGGGTAGCCTAGTGGTTAAAGCGTTGGCTCGTCATGCCGAAGACCCGGGTTCGAATCCCCACATGGGTACAATGTGTGAAGCCCATTTCTGGTGTTCCCCCGCCGTGATGTTGCTGGAATATTGCTAAAAGCGGCATAAAACCAGTCCTTGAGGATGAAGAACACCATTTCATGTGTTGTACAAAATATTCAGCTGCAAGAAAGTCCTTATTTAATTCCCTTTCCTCTAAAATTAATAACTTTCTCAGCCTGACTACCACTGAAAAATTTAACCTCCTTTTTAGAAATAATGATCCAAATAGTAAAGAAAGTATTTGCTACCACATATACAACTTTAAACAGAAGATCTGATTGTCCTAGGCCATTATTATTATTATTATTATACACATTTGTATTATTATATGTGTTGTTACTCATCATATATATGATTCATTATATATCTTGTTTATGTAGTTTATAGAATATTGTCACTGTCTGTATGGAACGTTTGCACAATAAATATTGTATCTATCTATCTTTATCTTAGGGGGTATGCATCTCTTCATGGTGAATATTACCAACTCCCTGGCAGTAGGGAATCTAAGCTGACTTGATTCTCTC